AGTCAAAGTCTGGGGTTTGCCGTCTTCCGAAGTCAAAGTCTGGGGTTTGTCGTCTTCCGCACTCAAAGTCTGGGGTTTGTCGTCCGAATTCAAAGTCTGGAGTTTGTCTTCCGAATTCAAAGTCTGGAGTTTGTCTTCCGAATTCAAAGTCTGAAGTTTGTCACTTTCTAAAGGTTTTATCGCAGCTTCTGAAGCAACGCACACTGTTTGTGAAACCTTAGCATCTTCTTTGACCGTGTCCTGAGTAGTGTAGCTGTTTTCCGGTCGCTCCTCTTTGGTCTTCTCTTCCGTCTGGTCTCCTGACGGTGGCTCTCGGCCTGCGGTTTTGGGCCCAGACTCTTGTGTGGATGTCTCCTCTGTGCTGGGAGAGCAGTCTGAGAGTGCAGAGGTCACGGAGAAGTTACGGGATGACGGATGTCCGGAGTCTGGAGAACTGGTGCAGTTGGGCAGAGTGCCATTTGGGATTTTGGGCTGCAGCTTCTCGTCTTTGGGTTTGGGTTCAGATTCGATCGGGTCCACCTCGTCTACAGAGCCGAACACCTGCGGAAGCAGAAATAGACAGGAGGAAAGTCAGACAACCTTTGCAAAATCATTGCATTTTATTAAATGTAATTATTGTAATTATTTTATTAAATTAAAATAGTGTAATAATAATGACATAATGACAACATGAAAGAAGTTTGTTTGCAAATGTATTACAAATATTAAAATATTTTATTAAAAATAAAAAACAAAATCACATGTACATAAGTATTCACAGCCTTTGCTCAATACTTTGTTGAAGCACCTTTGGCACCAATTACAGCCTCAAGTCTTTTTAAGTATGATGCTACAAGCTTGGCACACCTATTTTTGGGCAGTTTCTCCCATTCTTCTTTGCAGGACCTCTCAAGCTCCATCAGGTTGGATGGGGGGGGCGTCGGTGCACAGCCATTTTCAGATCTCTCCAGAGATGTTCAATCGGGTTCAAGTCTGGGCTCTGGCTGGGCCACTCAAGGACATTCACAGAGTTGTCCCGTAGCCACTCCTTTATTTTGGCTGTGTGCTTAGGGTCATTGCCCTGTTGGAAGATGAACCTTTGCCCCAGTCTGAGGTTCAGAGCGCTGTGGAGCAGGTTTCATCAAGGATGTCTCTGTACATTGCTGCATTCATCTTTACCTCGATCCTGACCAGTCTCCCAGTCCCTGCCATTGAAAAACAGCCCACAGCATGAGGCTGCTACCAGCACACTTTACTTTTGGGATGGTACTCTGCAGGCAATGAGCAGAGCTGGTTTCCTTCAAACATAATGCTTGGAATTGAGGTTCATCAGACCAGATAATATTGTTTCTCACCGTCTGATGGTCCTTTAGGTGCTTTTTTGCTAATTCCAAGTGATGCGCCAGGTTCCGAAACAACAGGCCAGGTGTGAAAGCACCTTAAGTCACCAGTCTAACCAAGGCCCTTCTCCATCAATTGCTCAGTTTGGCCAGGAGGCCAGCTCTAGGAAGAGTCCTGGTTGTTCCAAACTTCTTCCATTGTGAATAATGGAGGCTACATGCTTCTGTGAACCTTCAATGAAGCCGAATTTTTTCTGAACTCTTCCCCAGATCTGTGCCTTGACGCAATCCTGTCTCGGAGGTCTACAGACAATTCCTTGGACTTCGTGGCTTGGTTTGTGCTCTGATATGCACTGTTAACTATGGGACCTTATATAGACAGGTGTGTGCCTTTCCAAATCATGTCCAATTAACTGAATTTACCACAGGTGGACTCCAGTCGAGTTGTAGAAACATCTCCAGGATGATCAGTGGAAACAGAATGCACCCGAGCTCAATTTTGAGTGTCATGGTAAAGGCTGTGAATACTTATGTACATGAGATTTTTTTTCTTTTCAATAATAATTTGCAAAAATTTCAAACAAACTTCTTTCACGTTGTCATTATGGGGTATTGTTTGTAGAATTGAGGAAAATAATGAATTTAATTTATTAATTAATTTAATTCCATTTTGGAATAAGGCTGTAACATAACAAAATGTGGAAAAAGTGAAGCGCTGTGAATACATTCCGGATGCACTGTAAAACAAGTAATTTCAGAGATGGCGAAAGATTTTATATTATTATTATGTTGTTATTATTACTATTATTAACACAATTATGAAAGTTTTAATTTAATTACATTTAATATAATTATCGATATAGTTATTAATGATTATATTAAAATAAAATGGTTTAATTAAATCATTTATTAATAAATAATTAAAAAAATATGAATTAAAATTAAAAATTAAAATTTAGATATCTCAATATGAACTCGAACATTTCTTACCAAATTAAAATATCACATGACCTTGGCTGCGCCACATCAAAGTCCCTTTCAAGTATTTCTATAGTCTTTGGCCACATTAATTTTACAGCTCTATATTCATACTGTTTGACAGCTACTGACTCATTTGTGTTTAGGAGAAGCATCTGTGACGAAGTTAAAGCAGGCATGAAGATCTGCGAGAGCAATGACGTAGGTTGTGTTTTGACCTGAGTGCTGCTGTTGGAGTCGCTGTGTGATCCGGCGTGACTCTGTTTGTCGGAGCTGCTGCTCTGAGACAACTGCAGAGAGAAACACAGCGGCAGTCAGTAAACCTGCATGCAAACCTCAGCGCACGAGTACAGGCGACTCAAGCGCGAGCGCTTACGTCTGTGCTGATGGTGGAGTCCTGGCGCAAGCCGCGGTCCACGCTGGCGCCCGACGCGCATTTGGCCAGAGCGGCGGCGTGCTGCTCCTTCTCCCGCTGACGCACGATGGCTTCACATCCCAGCCACTCGCTCATGGTCTGCTCATAACAGGCTCGAACCTGCTCGTCCATCTGCAGAGAACGGCAGGGTTACGCTTACCAGTCGGTAGGGCTGGGCGATTTTTCCGATTTTATCGATTAATTAGAATTTAATGTTTTGCCACGATTTTATTGTTTAGAAAAAGAGAATCGCGATTTTGAATAGAAATTAGTACTGTCAAACGATTAATCGCGATTAATCGCATCCAAAATAAAAGTTTTTGTTTACATAATATACGTGTGTGTGCTGTGTATATGTCTGTAGTAAATAACAACAAACTAAATAAAATTGTTAATATGGCTAGTAAGATTGCAGGTAAACAACAGCATAGTCTGATAAAACTATGTGAATTTCAAGCTGTGAGGAAAGGCCATGCAATCCTTCGGGATGCATCCCATCCCCTTTGTGGTGAATAGGAGTTATTACCATCTGGTCGAAGTTACAGGGTACCATTATTACGGACTGCCCGTGCACAAAGATCTTTCATATCATCCAGTATAGCTCTGTTAAATACATTTTTGTGATATTACAGTTGTCATTTTACATCTATGGAAGTGATTCTGTTGTTGTGAGAGGGATGTTGTTTGATGCTGGTTGTATTTATTTGTAATGTGTTGTAACCTGTTGATGTTTGTAATTGTTAATTATTGTTGTTGATCACTGAAGAGTTGCCACAGATACAAAAAGAATTTCCGAAAGGACAATAAACTAACTATATTTATTATGTATATATAAATACACACACATGCATGTATATATTTCAGAGAATTTTTATTTTTATATATTAAATGTATTTATTTATAATATAAATAGACATGTAAATACATGTAAATATTTTCAAAACATACTGTATGTGTGTGTATTTATATATACATAATAAATATACACAGAACACACACATATATTATGCAAACAAATACTTTTATTTTGGGTGCGATTATTAATCGCGATTAATCGTTTGAATAGAAATATTCAATAAAATAGAAATATTACTAAATGTTAGAATTAGATAACATGGGGGTGTGCGATATGACGATTTTTGATCATGGACGATTAAAATGTCTCCACGATTTGCTTTTGAATAAATATAGTATCGTGCTACAGCACACATTCTATCAGCTGCAGTTCTGGCACCTCCTCCGTATCAATATAATGTACAATGCCACATACATTCACTTCAGTGTTAACTCGGCGATAGAGTTGCTCTCACGGGACACTGCACTTATTCGCAATCACAAAAGTACATTATTTGCATGTGTTTTAAAGCCTTGCCGGTTAAAAGTTTCATTCACGCGCTGTTCTGACGTGTGCCCGAAGCGCACTAAAAAGATCAAACGGTGACTTCTGCTCACCTCTTTGCGCTCTGTGAGGCTCATGCTGAAGTGATAGTGGCCCAGAAGGAAGGGCCAGACCTCCTTACGCAGAGTCGGCTCCACTCCGCCGTAATACACCAGCCGGAGCAGCTCCTCCTCCTCGTACGCCTGCACAGCAGTCTTATATTACAGCCAGTGCCATATTACAGGCTTTATTCAGATTCAGAATATGCTTTATGATAACATATGTGACCCTGCAGCACAAAAGCAGTCTTAAGTCGCTGGGATATATTTGTAGCAATAGCCAACAATACATTGTATGGGTCAAAATTATTGATTTTTCTTTTATGCCAAAAATCATTAGGATATTAAGTAAAGATCATGTTCCATGAAGATATTCTGTAAATGTCCTACCGTAAATATATCAAAACTTAATTTTTGATTAGTAATATGCATTGCTAAGAACTTCATTTGGACAACTTTAAAGATGATTTTCTCAATATTTAGATTTTTTTGCACCCTCAGATTCCAGATTTTGAAATAGTTGTATCTCAGCCAAATATTGTCATATCCTAACAAACCATACATCAATGGAAAGATTATTTATTCAGCTTTCAGATGATGTATAAATCTCAATTTCAAAAAAATTGACCCTTATGACTGATTTTGTGCTCCAGGGTCACACACAAAATCATTGAGACACTATTATAGTTTTATTCATATTTAAAATATGCTTTTATGATTGCTCTTATAGTTCTTATGAATATTTTCAATGTTTTTATGGTTACATATAGTATCACTCAGATACTATTATAGTTTTTAATCATATTTTGAATGTTTTTATGGTAACAATATCATTTTGATACTATTAGAATTTTTATTAATATTTTAAATGTTTTACGGTAACAGTGTCATTAAGATTTTAATTAATATTTTTACAGCTAAATTATAGCTGAGATACAATTATAGTTTTTATTAATTAATTTTGAATATGGTTTTATGGTTTTATAATTTCACTGAGATACTATTATAGATTTAATTAATATTCTTTGTTTTTACAGTAAAACTATCATTGAGATACTATTATAATTTGTATTAATATTTTGATTATTGTTTTATGATTACATACATCACTAAGATAATATTATAGTTTTTATTAATATTTAGAATAAGCCTTTATGATAACATACAGTATCATTTAGATGCTATTATAATTTAATATGTTGACAATTGTTTTATGATTACATATATCACTGAGATACTATTATAGTTTGTATTAATATTTTTTATGTTTTTGCAGTAACCGTATCATTGATATAATACAGTTTCTATTAATATTTGAAAAGTTTTTATGGCTACATAATATCACTGAGATACTATTATCATTTTTATTAATATCTGGAATAGGTTTTTATGGTAATATTTAGGTATAATTGAGATATGACTCCAGATATTATTTATGTTTTAAATGTTTTAACGGTAACAGTATCATTAAGATTTATATATGATACATATATAATATTTGGAATGTTTTAATATTTGATATTTTTTAACAAATATACTAATGTTCTAGTATATTTATTAAGAAACATTTGTTAACAAAGTAAATACATATAGCAATTTATTAAAATATTATTTCAATGATTTAACTGAATTAAATTAAAAATAAAATTCAAATAAATGACAAAAGTCAGATCTCAATATGATCTCAAACATTTGTCATTAAATTTATTTCTCATTAAATTATCTGAGCTGCTCTACATCTCTAACAAACAAGAGCTTATTGAAACATGATACTGTTTTTTATATTTATTTTCAATTTTAATTATGATTTTAGTAATTTTGTTGCATATTTTGTCATTTATTTATTTATTATTATTATTATTTAATTTTTTTTAAATATGTCTACAGTTTTTGTTCATTTTTATTTTACTATTAAACTAAGTGAAAAAAATGTTGCCTTGGCTACTAGTTAATTTTTTTTAATGTTTATACTGTATTTCAGTTAACATTTATTATTTAAAGTTTTTTTTTTCATGGTTTGTTCACTATAATATCCCTGCTGTACAGAACATTTCAGCTGATCATTTGTGACCCTGCAGCACAAAAGCAGTCATAAGTAGCGCAGGTATATTTGTAGCAATAGCCAACAATACATTGTATGGGTCAAATTGATAGATTTTTTATTATTGCAGACACCTCAGCTGCCGTCTTAGATTGCATAACATCACGTCATGAGAACGAGCTCGAGTGCATCAGCAGACCATGAGCCTGATGTGATACATACAGCCGTAGAAAGCGCGGGAGATGATCTGGTGCTTCATGGTCTCGCAGAGCAGCTTCAGCGGAGCCCTGTTTCACACACAGACAGACAAGGGAAAGGAGTCATGGCATGAGAAATCAAATTTGCCTTGATCTTATGGCATATAAGAGGTCTTTGTACCATTAAAACATCCTGCAAGTTTCATAGCTTAAGACGTTCTCCTCATTATAAACAAAGCATTTATTTAATCAAGCTCCAAAAACGGCTCATTTTGGATCCAGTGGGGCAAGGTGACGTCAGCTAGCACCAGTCGTTTGCATAAACACCGCCTCCAGACCAAGACATCACCATAGGCCCACTATGGGCACTAATCATGCTGAATGCGAGCGTCGCATCAAAAGCAAATAGAAATCACAATCACTGCCCGCTATCTTGTCTACACTGGATACAAACAGAGATTGTCTTACTATAGGGAGATGAGAGGGTCTGTATTACCAAAGTCTCTTTAAGACAAGTCATGTCACTCGGCGGCCATCTTTGAAACGCCACTCGGGCATGCAAGTGCAGCTCCTATCTCTTTGAATGGGGAAACATCAAATTCTCCAAAACTGTTTACTAAGCTTACGATTAAATTTCATATTCGAAATCACCAAAGAAATCTGACAACAACTGTGTCATAAATGTTGTTTCTTTTGCTCAAATAGCATTATAAAAAGCTTATTTTTCAGGCAAGATCAGCCAGTGCGCATGCGCCGTCCTAAGCGCATGTCTCAGAACGCTGACTGTTTCTATAGCAACCGGGAGGCGGGGCTTTCTGCGATTGAGTGTTGGATTTTTCCCCATTCAAAACTATACGAGCGACATGTCTTGGGTATTCTATAGTCTTTGGTATTACTTACTATTGGAGAAAGCATAAAGGCTAACTTGGATCACATGTGCCTTAATAACCAATCACATTACAGCCTTGACGTCAATCAGAGTTGTACGACACTCAGTCGCCGTTTATGGATCCCATAGGAATTAATGAGAAATGCCGGAAGCTGTCGCAAAAAGTCAGTGACGTCTCTTATAAAATGGCATTTTTTTCAGCGTAAACTCTAAAAATAGTTCAATCCAAAAGTATTGTTTAGTGTAAAACATGTTGAAGATTAGGAGATAGGCTGTCGATTCATTAAATGATAAGCCATTTCCTCTAAAAAGCTGTTTATTCAGCGTAGTGAAGCCTTTCCTCCATTGACATCCATTAAAAAAAAAAAAATGCCCTCTGGTCTCCTTTCCGTTAGCATTAGCCGTTACGCTTTTATGCTCGGCTTCTAGTGGCTTTGATACAGTATACAGATGCGCATTCGCTTTCTGACACGCGCTCGAGTCTGTCGTCAATAAAACAAATGGAGTGAAAGAACGTTCGCTTTGACGCGTTTGGTTTAAACAGCTCGTTCGCGTCTTTGTACAGATATCAGAAGGATCCCAGCGTAAGGAACAAGTGAGTAGTTTATTTTTAATGGCATCCCGGATCGTGTCAGAGGATTGTTTGGAGCATTTTGTTTTGTAAAGGAGGCACAGTGTCATAAGGCGCGTTTCCATTACAGATTTGCGCAAAACTTTGGTGATATTTTATAAATGTCGATAAAAAAGTATTGCGAAATGACGGCGTTTCCATTAACCAATGTTATGAGACTTAAACGTAACCTTTTGCCTCTCGCGATAAGTCATGGCAATGGATTTTGGTGGGATTTTGGCTATATTTATTCAAAGGAGGCTTATGCGTGTATCTTTTAAACAAGCAGCAAAGAGAGCCGATTCAGAAACGTGCGTGGCGTGGCTGGAATAAACCATAGACTGTATAAAAACATAAACACAAGCATTGAGTGGCCGTAATCAGCTTCAGTGACCGTATCAGAGCCACACTGCACCGCAGACGTGTGCAGTGTAAATTGCATCACAAACCATAAGTAAATGATTTCATAATGCTTTGTCTGGGAATGACCGTTTTATTTTGACGATGTTGTCAAAACATACAATAGCGAGGGGCCATTGATACCATACATATATCTATGGTTCATACTCTTTCCTATGGAAGCCCGTTTCCACCACTGAATAAAAAAATTTAAAAAGGTTATTGTGACTTTTCATCTCACAATTTTGACTTTTTCACAGAATTGCGTGATATAAACGCACAATTCTGACTTTTTTTCTCAGAATTGTGTGATATAAACTCACAATTGCGAGTTATAAAGTCAGAATTGCGAGTTTTTATCTTCCAATTGTGACTTTATATCTCGCAATTCTGACTCTATAACTCGCAATTGTAAGTTTATATTAGGGATGCTCCGATCGATCGGCCGATAATCACATTTTATGATTCGATCGGTACTCACTACGCTTGGCCGATCTCACGAACCGATCGTAATTTGATGACGTCAACGCATGACGACGTACATGATGCATGGGGACATAAATGATTTGGCGCCGCAGTCATGTCATCACCTGTGTGGAAATGCTATGACGTTTTGAGAAACAATGAAAAATTCACTATTTGTCGTGTATGTTTTGCATGATGATATGATGAATGGATGGCTCATTTTTAACAGTAGATTCAGTGACGTTAGAGCTGATCTGCGCATCACTGCACACGTCTGCGGCGCGTTACAGCTCCACGGGAACCGGAGCTGATCGCGGCCGCTCTAGTCAGTGCTTGTGTTTATACCAGCCAGCCGCTGCACTTTGGCGCCGCAGTCATGTCATCACCTGTGTGGAAATGCTGTGACGTTTCGAGAAACAATGAAAAATTCGCTATTTGTCGTATATGTATTGCATTATGATATGATGAATGGATGGTTCATTTTTAACAGCAGATTCAGATTCACGGAACAAAACTTCATCGGAGCCATAAGGGATAACGGTAACATAATAGCTACGCTGATCGTGGGCTGCTTTTAAATTAACATTTATTTATAAAACAAAATATCTTCTTTTGTCATATTAGCCTACTCAATAACATCAACACAGGCTTTACTCCTTTCAGACTTTATCTGGAATGTCACCATTTCGGTCACTGCAACTTCCCGATCAGGCGAACACACACACACACACACACGAAATCGTCTGCCTCATGAAAAAAAAAATTATAAAAAAAAAATGTAGTTAATATTTAAAAAAAAAGGTATTTTTAAAAAATGTAGTTAAAATTTGCATCATTTATTATTTATTTTATCCACCCGCAAATAATCAGAACGCATTTTTTATTACCCGACCCGTGGATATAAGAAAAGCAAAATATGTTTGCATCATAAATCAGACGGACTTACTGAAAAAGCAAATTAATTCTCTGCCAGCAGGAGGTGCTTTAAAACAGAGGTTTCCCCGGTAACGGCTGTACACAAAGCAGCGCTGAGCTCACAAACGCTGCTTTATCAGGCATATAACATGCAAGATGAAATGAAAATGACATCGAAAATTCCTTCAGAAATACAGTGATATAAAAACACCCGCTCCTCGTTTTGATTTTTAAACGTGCAGTACGTGCTCATGTTTATTCAACGAAGCCTTTTGGAAAATCCGTCAGTTTTGATATTGTGGCGAGCACCACAAATAAATAAATGGCACAACCACCTGAGCCCAACTTCAGTCTACTCATCACCTTAACTTTAACTGCGTTTGTAGACGGCACCATAGCCAGACTGATAAACAAACACAGACCGGAAGTTAATTTCGGGCCAGGCGCGTGCGCCCGATGAAACCGTCTATTTAAAGCTTGAAGCATCAGAATCGGCATCGGTATCGGCCGATCACCATGACAAGAAATCGGTACTCCGTATCGGCTGCAAAAATTCTGATCGGAGCATCCATAATTTATATCATGCAAAAAGTCGGAATTGTGGGATACAAAGTCTTTTTTTATTCAGTGGCGGAAACGGGCTTCCATAGTTTCCTATGCAGTGATGTTAGCCAATCATAACAGTGGCCGAATACTGACAAGCCTTAAAGGACCCGCCCCTTAAAAACAGCCCGTTTCTGAGAGAGGTTCAGGATGAGGGTTGAAAATAATTACTTCTTGTGCAAAAAACTTTATTAACATCATAAGTAAACCTCAAGGAACCTATTAAAATAACAACAAAATCCATGTCATGACCCCTTTAATTCACATCACAGACTCAGACGAGCGGCAGACTAGCCTGTCATGGTTGCATCCGTTGGGAAGGCCGCCGTCCGACGAGCCGCTCTGCAAACAGGAGGAACAAGACGACTTCCTAGGCGTGGGTTGCCACATGTTCACCGTCTGATCCATCAGCTCCGGTGCCACTTTAACATGCAGAAAGCCAATTAGCATCATATTCATGACCAGTGTGAACACAGAGAGCAGTCCGATGGAAACCCATATGAAAAATAAAATGTGTATGTTCTACCTGAAATGAAGATGTGTATAGAATTCAAACTGTACTGTTTTGTATAAACAAACAAGAAAAAGGGTGATTTTTCTTTCATACATTGAAATGAACTGCTTTCACAGTATGAAAGAAAAACTAATATGGGGCAAATGAAAAAATATACAAATCTACTATTGCCAATGATATCCATCTAAAAATATTTATCAAATTTGTAAAATTTACTACATTAGAAAATATATATATATAGGTCTATAATATTTATTTATATTATTGTAGATATGTATATTTACAATAATATTTAATGTAAACGGTCTTGGGAACTTTAAAAACATGCTATGAATTTGGCCAGTAGATGGCGCTGAAGACTTGTAGTTATTATAGTTAACTAAAACCATTTTTAAAAAATCAGTCTTTGAAAATAAAATATAAAAATGTGACCTTTTTTAAATTTGATCTACTTTGCAAAGGCAACATTTCTCATTTTAATTTAGTTTAACCTGATGTACTAAAATAACTAGCACAAATAAAATTCATAAACGCATTTAATTAAAAACCAATACATTCAAGACATTTAAAAAACAAGTTTTAAAATAACAAAACACACCAAAATTACTAAAAATTCTAATCAATTTAAAATGAAAAGATAAAAATAAAAAGTTTAAATATTAATAAACCCATAAAATAACAATTTAGTTGGTTCTATCCAGCACAAAACAAAACTAAAATATATTTTATGACCATTTTATTTCATTTTAGTTAGTTTTGAAGCAGTTCGGGACTGTGTTAGTTAAATTTTTGTTTTCATTCTTACGTTTTGAATTTTACATTTTTATGTCCATTTATGAGGTCATTTAAAAAAAAATCAATTTTAGTTTTAGTTTATCTATAATAATCTTGTTTGAGAACATCTTAATACTAGCAGATCAACTTCACGTTAACATACCAAACTCCTGACTGCCAGGAAATATGATCCGAAACACATAATCAGTGGCCTCGTCTTCCTCTTTGTCCGAGAACGACTCGCTGGATTCATGTGGACTTCTTTTACGCAGCTTTGGAAACACTTTTCCCTGAGAAAGAACACAGAATGATCTCGTTTCTATTCAAACTGCTGAAGAATGACTGTAAAGCGCTGGGCAAACCTTTCCTCTTTGGGACCAGAGCGGAGGATCTAACTGTCCGTGAGGAAGCAGGCCCGTCTCCAGACACGTGAGGAACTGCAGCAGGTGACCGCCTTTAGGAAAGCGAAGCGGAGGCCTCTGGATCCCGTCCTGACTGACCAAAACCACAGTACCTCCACTGCCCACTGCACACAGACACCGCAGACAAACCTTCAGACATCAAGCTAATGTGAGAACTTTCTTTAACGCTACTGCATCATATTTGATACGCAAAGTCCTTTAAACGATGAAAACTTTGCTGTTTCGCACTCAATCTACCGCATGTCTTCTGTTGTCTGATTGATAGTTTAGAGTGTTTTATCCAGTAAAAGCTCTTTTAGTGTAATTGTACAAACCTCCAGCTTCAGCTGCTGCTTCTCGTGTGTTTCTGCTGTCAAATCTTGACTGATTTTGATCAAGTAAAGGTCAGAATAACTGCAGTAATATCTCCAGATGAACACTTACTGGACTGAAGCAGCTCAGCTTTACTTGATTCTCCATCAATCATGTTTTAGAGTCTCAAATCTGATCCTCAGGATCTTTTGAGGAGCGTTTGTTTCCAGAAGCTTTACTTTCACTGTTCCTCAGCGGAGGAATGATCTTCACAAGCCTCCAGAACATCTCACAGCTTCTGAGGAGCCTTTATTTCTTCAGCTCTCAATCACTGCATTATATGTTTGGATCATTTCAATCTCATCTTACTACGACATATTATTGGAGATATAGAGCGACCATTAATATTTATATAATTTTATGTCAGTATCTGTGGTACTGTTATAAAGATCTTATTGATTTACATTACAAGCAGCAGAATTTCATCATTTAAATATCAGCATCTGCAACGAATTGCAAATTTTTGCTAATTTTGGGCCTCTGAATAAAACTGAGCTCCATTTTCTCACTATATCATATTATATGAGCCATAAAAGCCTGATAGATCAAATATGATGCTCAACAAAAACACATGCAAACATAATTTTTTTTTTTGGATTATTCTATTATTTCATGTGTCAGGCTTTAAGGAGTTAAATATGCTCAGTGTTGATATGCAATATATTGCTAAAACCGATTTAAAAAAAATTGTTATTGGAAAAAAAAATTTAATAAAATTAAATATACAATTTTTTATCTTTTTATTTCGTCTAGTTGCACAGGCAACATTTCTCATTTTAATTTAGTTTTAACTTGATGTACTAAAATAAATAAAACTGAAATAAAATTAATAAAAACATTAAAAAAAGGCTCGTAAAAAACAGAAATAGTAAAACAAAACAAAATTACAAAAAATATAAAAATGAATAAAACCAAATATTAAAGAGTACAAAGAATTAAATATTAGAAAGAATAAAAAGTCAAAATATGAATAAAAACCATAATAGTATCATAATAATAGGCTACTACAATAACAATTTAGTTGATGTTCTATCCTGCAAAACAAAAAAACTAAAATATACTTAATGGCCATTTTTATTTCATTTTAGTTGGTTTTGAAGCAATTCAGGACTGTTAGTTTTTTTTTTTCATTCTTACGTTTTGAATTTAAAATTAGATTTTTATTTATGAGGTCATATTTTAAAATATTCACCTTGCTGATGGCAGTGCAAATAGACGATTTCCTCCAGACGAATGGTCATGGCATAATCCCAATATACACTGTGGAGAAATGAGACTTGATTTACAATCATTCCCACAAAGCAGACGTCACAATCATAACGCACGTCACCTTTTCTCATAATCAAACTCCCCCATGTTTCCGTTCATCAGCTGGTTCGGTGTCCATTTGAGCGTCATCAGATCGGCTGTCTGGTGAAGAGAGAGGTATCCTGGGATTGCTTCCATGTCGTCTGTCTGAAAGACCGCATGAGATTTATTGCCACACTTTAATTAAAGCACCACAGCATCATCACGCACGTCTAAGTAACTTTTACCGGCTGCACCAAGACGTTGTTTTTCCCGAAGAGCAGCGTGGCTCTGGAGTTTTGATGAAGAGATTGGACGTAATCCCGCGCCCACAGAGACGGTCGGTCATCCATGCTGCCACTCGACTGCCTCTTCTGGATCTACAGAACAACACGCACCGAGATATTACTCGAACAGAGATATTACTCTCATATGCATGCTTTTTGATTTGAGAAATGAACACTGCATGATCGCATGGACCCAATCCAGGCATTACAGTTGCTTGCACACATTTTCAAAACGTTGCCTCTTTTTTTCAAAACTTTACACACAAATCTGAGAATTGCACGCACAAAATGCAAAATGCCTCACTCATCTCTTGCAAAATGAAGCAATGCATTCAAAATATCACACACATCTCAAAAGCAAACATTTGCAAACACATTTGCCGTAATATTAATTCCTGTTAGATTTCTGTGTGTTACATAGAGAATTGCGTGTTGTGTTTTGCAAAAAGTGTAATATGTGACCCTGCAGCACAAAAGCAGTGTTAAGTCGCTGGGGTATATTTGTAGCAATAGCCAACAATACATTGTATGGGTCAAAATTATTGATTTTTCTTTTATGACAAAAATCATTAGGATATTAAGTAAACATCATGTTCCATGAAGATATTTTGTAAATTTCCTACCGTAAATATATCAAAACTTAATGTTTGATTAGTAATATGCATTGCTAAGAACTTAATTTGGACGACTTTAAAGATGATTTTCTCAATATTTAGATTTTTTTGCACCCTCAGATTCCAGATTTTCAAATAGTTGTATCTCAGCCAAATATTGTCAGGGTCACATATGAAGAGTCAAAGGCCGAGAATTAGAGTATGGTTTTGCAGATTTGGCGTGTGCTTCTGCTGTTTGAGTCTCAGCTTTCAGAAATTGTGTGACAAGGAAAGATTTTATGTGTAAGCAGCTGAGAAAAGCTGTAACTGCAGGGCATCTTACGAGAGCCGGGCGTTTGGTGGGGGAATCCTGGCGGCAGTGTCCGCTGTGAATGCGGTGTCTCTGCACCAGTTCATCAGCCGACGGATCCGTCCAGAAATGATTGGCCGTCTTGGCTTTTGTGTACTCCAAAGCACAGGGACCGACTGAAAGACACACAGCGTACGGAAAAACATCAGCGGATTAATCTTGCCCTCAATGCATCATCATATCCCAATTATACAAAAATATACAGTACAATTAAAATGATCATTCATTTACTTTTTAAAATAAATATATAATTACATATACATATAGCAAAATATATTTAATTATATTTGTAACAATATAAACTACTATTCAAAAGTTTGGGGTCAGTACTTTTGTTTTTTTTATGAAAGAAATTAATATTTTTATTCAGCAAGGATGCATTAAACTGATCAAAAGTGACAGTAAAGACATTTATAAAGTTACAAAAGATTTCTATTTCAAATAAATGCTGTTCTTTTGAACTTTCTATTCATTTGTGAATTGTGAAAAAATTAAATGTCTCACGGTTTCCACAAAAATATTGGGCAGCACAACTGTTTTTAACGGTTGATAATGATAATTGATAATCATCAGAAATGTCTCAAATCAGCATATTAGGATGATTTCTGAAGATCATGTGACACTGAAGACTGGAGTAATGATGCTGAAAATTCAGATTTGATCACAGAAATAAATTACAGTTTAACAGATATTCACACAGAAAACAGCTATTTTACACTGCAATAATATTTCACAATTTTACTGTATTTTTATAAAATAATGCAGCCTTGGTGAGCAGAAGAGGCTTCTTTTAAAAATCCCAAACTTTTGAATGGCAGTGTAAATATAATCTTCAGTTGTTTTTTTCCCCCAAAAAAATTACAAGACACAAATGCTTGAAAACCGATACCAAGCAAAGATGCGAGGATTGGGCCGTCAACTGGATCTCTCAGCAGAGCTTCTCTTTCATAAAACTTGCTGAAATATGAATAAAAACAGCTCAGTTTAATTTCATTCATTCAAATGAATCTATGTTCATAGTAACATACTACATGCCTAGTTTGCATGTTTTCCATTTCCAGTGTAATAAACTGTAAGTGTAACTGGAGGCCTGATTTCAAACACCTCCCTTTATGTCTCATTATTTGATTTGACTGCCCATGAACTATGAAATATGTACACAAAACTGGACTAAGTATGCAAAATAATAGTTTTTATTTGTGACCCTGGAGCACAAAAGCAGTCTTAAGTCGCTGGGGTATATTTGTAGCAATGGCCAACAATACATTGTATGGGTCAAAATTATACATTTTTCTTTTATGCCAAAAATCATTAGGATATTAAGTAAAAATCATGTTCCATGAAGATATTTTGCAAATTTCCTACCGTAAATATATCAAAACTTAATGTTTGATTAGTAATATGCATTGCTAAGAACTTAATTTGGACAACTTTAAAGATGATTTTCTCAGTATTTAAATTTTTTTGCACCCTCAGATTCCAGATTTTCAAATAGTTGTATCTCAGACAAATATTGTCCGATCCTAACAAACCATACCCAAACTCAATTTTGAAAAATTGACCCTTATGACTGGTTTTGTGGTCCAGGGTCACATTTGTGAACTGAATGCCACTGAATTTAAAGGTGGGGTAAGTGATTTTTCAAAAACGCTTTAGAAAACTGATTCGGGCTGACTAGCAAAACAAACTTGTAGCCAATCAGCAGTAAGGGGCGTAAAATACTGAGTACCTTAGTACTCATGATGTGGAGGAGAGAGCGTTCAGTGCTCACATTAGCGAGCCGAGCGACAGAAAGATAGAGATGGCGGATAAAAAACAAAAGAGGAAAACGTCTGCGGAACAAAAGAAGGCTTAAAGGCAAGAAGTAGGATGCGTGTAAATATCAGATCAGCTTTCCAGTGCTGGAGAGAACTCAAGGAGCGGAAGGCCTGCGATCGGACGCCGAGGTTGCTTTGTTTTTTCTAGATAGGTGAGTAACACCATGTTTACACCGGACTCGACAGTTGTCACACCGCAACAGCTAAAGTCTGTCTACAATGGACGAGACAAAGCGACCGTTAAAAATCATTTGAAATTTGTGTCAATACGGAATGCAGCAGCAGTTTTCTGTCTGGGATTTGTCGTGTCGCGCCGCGCCGCATCCAGTGTAGACCATAAATATGTATATATATCTATGGTGTAGACAGCATCACTGATTATAATGACTTCTATAGTATTTTGTCGAGCCGCGCCACTCGCGTCCAGTGAAGACACGGTGAATTGGTTTTGCTTTGTTTCACAGAACTAATCGTTGCCCGAGTTGCGTACGTATGTGTGGGGCGGAGCTATCAAAATAGGGGCGAGACCCTTTTGGGGTAGGGGCGTGTTTGTTTTGGTGATTTCAAATGTCAACATTGGCTTCCAGAAATCGCTTACCCCACCTTTAACATGTAACATAAACATGAACACAGTGTGCTAGACCACAGTCTGTAACCTGTCAGAAATGATATCTTTTATTATATACGAATTCCTCACCTGCTGTTCTCCACCAAATACAGGACGATTTTGTCCAGCAGCTTCTCTGTGAGGGCCGCGCGGATCCACAGGTGTTTGATGGCCAGCGGCGACAGGTTTGGAGGCCGGGGCTGTTTCCGGACGCTCTCTTGACTCATCTGACCCTGGTTTTGTCTTGTGTTGTGAAAGTTAAAATCATAGTGATTTAATAAAAAAATCTAATTAACTGACCCTATTTACTTTGGATACTTAATACTCAAATATAAGATTCATCAGCACACAATCATCATTCATTTTAAACCAGCAGAAATATTTAGATGACTAATTTAATAATAATAATAATAATAATTAGTATTATTGCTAACAATAATAAGAATAATTAAATGTAATTAGACATTATTAACAATTCATATAATAATAAATATAAATGAATAAAATTATATGTAATTATATTTTAAATATAATAAAAAATAAATACAATAATGATAATGTTTTTATTATTCATTATTCTTAAAATTATTATTATTACTATTATTGTCATTGTTTCATTTATATAGCACCTTTCTAAAGAAAAGGAACAGAAAAGAAAAAAAGATAATGCCAGAAATGTGACAATTTTACCTAAACATAGCAATAATAATAATAACAATAATAATAATAATAGTTACTATTAGTAGTATTATTAATTGTAAAATATTAATAACTAATTGATTAAAATGAATATAACACCCTTATAATGCTAATAATAATGATTATTATATTTTTCATTTATATAACACCTTTCTAAGAAAAAGGAACAGACAAAGAACACAGGGTAATAGGGATGTAACGATTAACCGCGAGCCGGTTGAAAATCGATTCAAATATGTGACGATTCAAATCAGTTGAGATGCTAAACAAATCGCGATTCATTTAGGTGTAGGAGTTTATATGAATGCATGTCTGAGGGGAACTTACTGTCTTTAGAAAAGTTTAGATGGTATTTTT